TTACTTATTAAATATTACAATAAATATAAAATTAAATCAAACTTCAAAATTAAGCCCTGGCAACTGCGGCTCATTAATATTTATTTTTGTCTGCTTAAATCGAAGAAAATTTAATTTAAGGGTTTCGATGTCATATAGCTATAACCATGGTCATGGCTAGAAGGATGCAGCTCGTTGCCTAGATCAAGCACATCTTTAGGCTACGTTGCCAAGCACGGCTCCTGCTGCCTTCTGGGTTACATAGCCTAGCATCGATATCGATTATACAATGAAAATCCATTTTAATTGGGTTCACAGTGTAGAGCAATAGAAACAGCTGAAAAGTTGCCCCACTGAGGTGAAGGTGAGGCCGGACAGGTAAGCCAGGTGGGAGCTGCTCCAAGGTACTAAATCTAATTAAATATACTCACACATTCATTTCTCTATGCTCTCAAATATATTTCTATGTATCTTATAGATATATATATATATATGTTCTTCTCGGTTAACGCCCCCTTTTGACTACGCCTATGGCGCTGACATTCATTTCTAAATCGTCTGTTTTTAAAGCTTTTTTGCCAACTTTAACTTGGGGCGCACGCTGCTCTCTGTTTACCTTCTCTGCTTTATCTATTTTGTTTTTCTTTTCGACTTGACTCCGAGTTTGGCCTAGACAAAGTGACCTTTGTGCAGCGATTCGCTCTGGCTAGGCCATTGATGAGGTCTGAAACCCGGATGCTCTTTTGCCAGCCATTTGTTAGCAATACAATTTGTGAGAAGGTGGAGAATTTCATGCCGATTCAAAAGGCAAACGAAATGCCTTTCACCTGACGCTCGTGCCTCCCCACTCCCACTCCCACTCCCTATCTGTGTATGTGTGTGTGTTTTTGTGAACTTTCTAATTGAAAGCTAACTTTGGCAATTACGTACTGGCCTTTAATCAAATGCGGGCCGACAATTGGCAGCCGTAGCGTAGAGGCGAGTCCGTCCGTGAGTCCGTCTGCCGTGTGATTTGAAAGTGCAACAAAAATGCCAATTTAATTGACATTTTATTGAGCCTTTGACTGTCGTTGGCAAACTTTGAAGAAGAAGCAGCGCCAGTAGAACTTTTTGCTGGCCGTAAAAAGTTTTTGGGATCTATCTATTCCTACAGTGTCTGTCTGCCTGTCTGTCTGTCTGTCTGGCCTGTACGTTTCTATTAGCCGGACAGTTTTGTTTCTCGTTTCACTCAATTTAATCACTTTGTCAGCCAAAGTTGCGCCTTCGCCGCTTTCAGCTGTGTCTGGCGCAAACCTAATCTAACTTATTGATAATAAATGCGTAGGGCAAAAAGTTGATTATATATACGTTATACGTTATACAATATACTATATATATATAATTTTCTTTTGGCCCGACGAAAGTTTTGCCGGCCAACAGACATATCAAAAATAACTGACTGGTAATAATTTCGGCATATTAAAAAACTTTTTTCTCGATGACTTTTGCATTTATTTCGCCCCGAAAAAGGAAAAAAGTTTTACTAAAAGTTTGCCTCGTGTATGTGTGTGTGTTTATTTGTAAGTTTGTGCTGGGCTTTTGTGGAGAAGAAACTGCTACGTTGGCAAAATGTTTTCGATGTTTGCAGCGCAGAAATTAGAAAAATTGTTTCGCAAAACTCGGCTGGCAAACGAGCCTCGGCATCGAAATAAACTGAACTGATTTATAAAGGAGCCAAAGGCAGAAGTTGCCCCAGCGCTGACTTGGCATAACCACATGCTTATACAAATACAGACGCACTCACACACACACACACACAGAGAGATGTGGTCAGGTCATTGCTATCGAACCTGCTTATCGTGTGTGGAACTTTGAGTGTTTTATGAACTGGATTTGATGGAGCTTTGTGTAATGGCTTAGATGGATTACGCTGATTGTTTGTAAACAGAATGGCTACACACACACACACACAGACACACATATACGCACATACATAATTAAGCTATGCATCTATAGTCGCATTACAATAATATTTGATTGAACTCATTGCACAAATGGCCTAAGCCAATGTGTGCATAAACAAATTTGGAAATCATAAAGTGGATAAAGAGTGGATAAAAGCCTTGGCTGCCCTCAGTAGATGGTTCTGCTTGTAGCTGCTCTTAAAGTGGGAAGCCAGTGGAAATTTAAGAAAACTAACTTATGATTTCTTATAATAATAATTAAT